TCCTCCTCCTCCTCCGCTTCCTCCTCCTGCGTCCTGGTGCACGTAGCTCCGCTCGCGCTCAGCCCCGCTCAACCACTCGCCCACCGCCGAGGCCATCGTGTACCCGCTGCGCGCTGGCACCTCCCACCTCGGGGGCGTTCCTCCCTCCTCCTCCGCCTCCTCCTCCTCCTCCGCCTCCTATCCTCTCCTTCCTCCTCCTCCTCTTCCTCCTCCTCTCTCCTCCTCCTCCTCCTCCTCCTCCTCCTCCCACGCCGCCTCCTCCTCCTCCTCCTCCTCCTCCTCCTCCTCCTCCTCCTCCTCCTCCTCCTCCTCCTCCAGTCCATTTCCTTATGAATAACTCCTCCCCGTCGCATCCCGAGGCCAGTCGGAAGGGCGGGGCGGGCGTTTCGCCTGAGAATTCTTTACCACGTATGAGCCTGAAGCTTAAAGCTGGCAACAGCTTCACACATGGAGGGCTGGTCGTTTTCAAAATGTGGCTCTCTTCTCAGCGCAATTGCAAAGAGTTTCACGGATTGAGGACAGGTCGTTTTTCAAATGTGGCTCTCGCCTTGGCACCGCGCCACTTCGTGTGGAAATTTGCAAGAGCTTCACGGATTGAGGACAGGTCATTTTCAAACGAGTTCCCGCCTGAACCTCGCGAACATTCGATTTAAACATGATCGACCCACGAACCCGGAAAGGGATATAGAAATGTGAGGCATGGCAGCGTTTTCAAGACACCTGATCTGGCGACGGGAAATTGCAATGCTGAGTGTACCGATCTTGATGTACCGTGCCAAAAGTTGTGGTGCTGTGCTGCGCTGTACTGAACTGCGATGTGCCATGCCGCGATTGTGTTCTATAGCGCTGTAGATCGAGTGCTCCGTAGCCTTCGAATACTAACCGAACTGATCTGAATCTTAAGCTCGAGCCGCCTGAGCACATACTAGCCGCCCCAGGGTTAGTTGAAGTGGAAACGCAGAGGACGTTCAATCAACTCGACCTCAAAATCCGAATCAGCTCCCACAAGGAACGACGACACGGGGCACAGAATCACGGACGCACCACAGGATTTACCAGAGGCGAAATAGGTGGTGCGCCAGGGGACGTGTCAGGGAACACATCAGTGGACGTGCCCTGGACGTGTCAGGGACCTGCCACGGGACGTGCAAAAGCGCATGCCATGGAGTGGCCAGAGGACATCATGCAAAGGGACGTTGCACGGGGCCCGCCACGGAACGGGCAGGGGAAACGCCTGGGGACGAGCAAGGAAATGCGACAGCGGACGAGCCAGGGAACGTGCCACGCCGGGTGGCGTGCTAGGGGACGTGCCAGGGCACGGGCACTTCACGCCAGAACGTCGCAATGGACGCACCAAGGGACGCGCCAGGGCGGCAAGGACTGCCCCACGGACGGGCGGGATTGGACTGCGACGCACTCTACCGGTCTCTACCGCGACAAGCGTTCCGCTCGAGACATCCTCAACACATTCTCATGTTAGACATCCGCCTGGGCGATCTGGACACGTGAAAACAAGCGCCTCGTTCGAGACGTTGTCAAGACCTCCTCATGCTAGACATCTGTCCGAGCGATCTGGAACACGTGAAAGCAAGCGCTTCGCTCGAGACAGCCTGCCCAAGTCATCATGTTAGACATCCGCCGGGGCGACCTGGACACGTGAACACACGCGTTTCGCTCAACACATCCTCAACACAGCCACATGCTGACCATCCGCCTGGGCGACCTGGACACATGAAAACAAGCGTCTCTCTCTCTCTCTCGAGAGAGAGAGAGAGAGACATTCTCAACACATCTTCATGTTAGATATCCGCCTGGGCGACCTGGACACGTGAAACCAAGCGTTTCGCTCAACACATCCTCAACACATCTTCATGCTAGAAAACCTCCTGGGCGACCTGGACACGTGAAACCGACCGTTTCGCTCAACACATCCTCATGCTGCACATCCGCCTAGGCGACCTGGGCACGTGAAACCAAGCGTTTCGCTCGAGACATCCTCAAAACATCTTCACGTCAGACATCCGCCGGGGCGACCTGGACACGTGAAAATAAACGGTTCGCTCAACACATCCTCAACACATCCTCATGCTAGACATCCGCCTGGGCGACCTGGACACGTGAAAACAAGCGTCTCTCGAGAGACATCCTCAACACATCTTCACGTTAGACATCCGCCTGGGCGACCTGGACACGTGAAACCAAGCGTTTCGCTCAACACATCCTCAACACATCTTCATGCTAGACATCCGGCTGTGCGACCTGGACGCGCGAAAACAAGCGTGTCTATCGAGACACCCTCGACTAATCATGATGCTTGCCATCTGTATGGGCGCCCTGGACGCGGGAAAACAAGCGTATCGTTCGAGACATCCTCAACACATCCTCAGGCAAGACATCCGCCTGGGCAACCTGGAGCTGTGAAACCACGCGTCTCACTCGAAACATCCTCAAGACCTGGGCACGGGAAAACAAGCATCTCACCCGAAACATCCTCTGAATTCTGGTCCCAAGGAGAGCAACGATCTATAGCACCAAAAAACAAGTTTCGCTCCAAACATCCCCAACACATGATGCAAAACAAGCGTTTCGCTGGAGACATTCGCAACAAATCAAGAATGCTTACTTTACCATGTGTTTCATCGCTCGGAATTTCAAGAACCAGCGTTCCGCTGGGGACATTCTCGTCGTTTTAATTTGCCGGCTCGCAGATTAAATTCGCTGGACCGTCTCAAATCGAGGCCCGTGAAAAACAACTAAAAGAGATGCCCTTTCCGGGAACATGGTCGAACCACGAACCCAGAAAGGAATATAGAAATGTAAGGCATGGCAACGTTTCAAAGACACCTGATTGGGTGACGGGTCAGGTTGCAATGCTGAGTGTACCAGTCTTGATGTACCGTGCCGAGGGCTGTGCTGTGATGCGCCGTGCTGAATTGCGATGTCCCATGCCGCGAGTGTGTTCTATAGCGTTGTGGATCGAGTCCTCCTTTGCATAAGAGTCCTGACCGAACTGATCTGGATCTTAAGCTCGAGCTGCCTAAGCGCATAGTAGCTGCCCCAGAGCTACTTGACAGGGTGACATGCCAGGAGGACGCGCCGCACCGCGGGACGTGCCAAGGGGACGCGCTACGGAACGTGCCAATGGCTGTGCCACGAGACGTGCCAAGGGACGCGGCGTCCCAAGGAACGTGCCAAGTTGCAATGCTGAGGATCTTGATTTACCGTGCCGAGGGCTGTGCTGTGCTGCGCCGTGCTAAATTGCGATGTCCCATGCCGCGATTGTGTTCTGTCGCGTTGTGGATCGAGTCCTCCTTTGCATCCGAGTCCTGACCGAACTGATCTGGATCTTAAGCTCGAGCTGCCTAAGCACATAGTAGCTGCCCCCAGAGCTGATTGACAAGGGGACATTCCAGGGGACGCGCCGCGGAACGTCTCAAGGGCCGCGCCGGGCGACGTGCCAGGGGACGTGCCATGGGGACGCTCCGCGGGTTGTGCCAAGGGGACGCGCTACGGAACGTAACAATGGACGTGCCACAGGACGTGCCAGGGGACGCGCCGCGCGTCGTGCCAGGGGGACTCGCCACGGGACGCGCAAGGGAACGTGCCAGGGAGTGTGCCAGACAACGCACCAGGGAACGTGCCAGGGAACGCGTCAAGGAACGTGCCACGGGGGACCCAGGGCAAGCATCCATTGTAAATTACGCTGCGTCCGCGCTCCCAGGGCAACGATTCATTGTAAATTACGCTGCATCCGCGTTCCCAAGGCCACGATCCCCAGTGAATTACATTGCGTCCGCTCTCCCTGGGCCAGTCCCTCGTAAACTACGCTGCGTCTGCGCTGCCAGGGCAGCGCTCCTTTGTCAATTATGCTGCTCCCGCGTTCCAAGCGCGACGATCCCAACTAAATTACACTGCGCCCGCAAAGCAACGATCCCTCGTAAATTACATTGCGTCCGCGCTCCCAGGGCCACGTTCTGTTGTAAACTACGCTGCGTCCGCGCTCCCAAGGCCACTATCCACCGTAAATTATGCTGCATTTGCGCTCCCAGGGCCACGATCCTTGAAAATTACGCTGCGTCCGCCCTCCCTGGGCCACGGTCCCTTGTAATCTACGCTGCGTCCGCGCTCCCATGGCTGCGCTCCCTTGTGAATTACGCTGCGTCCGCGTTTCCTGGGCCAGGTTCCTGAGGAAAGTACGCTGCTTTCGGGCTCCCAGAACCACCTGGGCATCCTGGGGCGCCCAAGCCGCTCGCGTTTCGCTCGGGACATCCTTGAAGCGTCTCGCTCGAGACATCCTCAAGACCTGGGCACGTGATAACAAGCATTTCACCTGAGACATCCTCTGAATTCTGGTCCCCAGGAGAGGGACGATCTATAGCACAAAGCAAACGTTTCGCTCGAGACATTCTCAACAAATGATGCAAAACAAGCGTCTCGGTCGAGACGTCCGCAACAAACGAACATGCTTACTACACCCTGTGTGTTATCGGTCGGAATTTCAAAAACATGATGGACCCGTGAACCCGGAAAGGAATCCGCCGGCCTCCTTGCGGGGCCACCAGGCTGTAGGGCTAGGGTTAGCTGTTCCCTGCACCAGTTCTAACTTCCAGTTTCTACTGTTGCAGTTCTGGTTTTTGCTGCTCACTGGACCGCGAGAGAAGGGGGGAGCCGAAAAGTACCCTGGTCAGCGTCTCCTAGGGGGGTTCTCAGAAATTCTTCGGGGGTCGAAATTATCACCCCTCACGCAGATCGGTGGGGTCAAGGTCACAAAGGATTTGCCATATTTCTGAAATTCGGTGGCGCCCCTCACGCAGATCGGCGGGGTCAGGGTCCGAAAACACAAAGACTTGGTCACATTTCTGAAATCCCACCAGCCCTTTGGGCGTGAGTGGTTTAGAGAGCCCCCTCTGTCCTCAACCCCCCAACCCCCCTTCTTCCCCTTCGGGGAGGGGTTTACCCCTCCCCCTACCCCCTCCCCCTGGGCCTGGACAGGGAGTCCCGCGGGTGGTCAGGGTTTTTTTTTCGACGCCTGGGAGGGCCAAACAACGACGACCCTCACGAGGATTCTGGCCCCGACGGGGGGGCGCTCTTGTAGCCCCCTCCTCTTCTGTGAAGCCAAAATCATTGCTTTTACGATGGTTTTGGCCCCATTTTGGCCTCCCGAGGGGGCCGCGCTCATCTTCCTTCCTAGCAAAATCATTCATTTTACGAAGGTTTTGGGCTCATTGTGTCCTTCTCAGGGGGTAGCGCTCATTTGCGCTTCTGAGGAGGTCGCACGAGGCCCCCAAGAGGCCCCAAGATGCCCCCAGGAGGCTCCCAAGAGGCCTCCAAGAGGCCACCAAGAGGCCCCCAAGAGGCCCCCAGAGGCTCCCAACAGGCCCCCAAGAGGCCCCCACGAGGCCCCCAGAGCCCCCAAGAGGCTCCCAAGAGGCCCCCAAGAGGCCCCAAGAGGCCCCCCAAGAGGCCCCAAGAGGCCTCCAAGAGGCTCCCAAGAGGCCCCAGGAGGAGCCCGAACGACTCACACCAGGACGAGGGGCCCGAACGACTCACACCGGGAAGAGCCCGAACGACTCACACCACAAGGAGAGGCCCGAACGACTCATACCAGGACGAAGCGCCCGACCGACTCACACCACGAAGAGCCCGAACGACTCACACCAGGAAGAAGGGCCCGAAACGACTCACACCAGGACGAGAAACCCCAAACGACTCAAATCACGAGGAGCGCTTTCTCTCCCTCCTCCTCCGCCTCGTCCTTCTCCCGCTCCCCCCACAAGGAGGATGTACAAGGAGGCGGGAGGACGGAGGAACAGGGGAGATATGCGGGGCCCAGCGGACACACGCCTGAGAAACACAACTGTCGACATGCTTCGCGAGAGCTGCTGCTGTGAGATGGGCTGGTGGGGATACGCGAAGCGTAAAGAATTCGGCGTCACCCCTCACGCAGATCAGCGGGGTCAAGGTCCAAAAAACAGAAGGGATGTACCACAAATTCGAAAGATGCGGCGGCACCCCTCACGCAAATCAGCGAGTTCAGGGTCCAAAAATACTGGGGATTTGCTACATGTTTGTCGGTGGCACCCCTCGCGCAGATCGGCGGGGTCGGGGTCCAAAAACACAAAGGATTTGCTACATTTCTGAAATTCGGCGGCACCACTCACGCAGATCGGCGGGGTCAGGGTCCAGGAAACACAAAAAGGATTTGCCACATTTCTGAAATCCGGTGGCGCCTCTCACGCAGAACGGCGGGGTCAGGGTCCGAAAACACGAAGGATTTGTTACACATCGGAAATTCGGCGGCACCCCTCACGCAGATCGCTGGACCAGGGTCCAAAAACACAAGGGATTTGCCACATGTCTGAAACTCGGTGGCACCCCTCTTGCAGATCGGCGGGGGTCACGGTCAACAAAAACACATGGGATATGCAACATTGCAGTACTGCGTAGAACAGCTTTTTTGCACAGCGTACGCGAGCAAGCTCGAATACAACACCGAATTCAACAAGATCATCAGCATCTCAATTTGTCTTACCGATTACTCATCGTCTTCACGTGAAGTCCCGACGCTGCTTCACGGCGGCGCCAAGGCCTCATGATTTCGCTCTTGCATTACCCATTATCCGAGAGAGGGGGCTGGCGGCAGGGGGCGAAGCCCTTTCGGATATAGTCAAAGACACCTGATTAGGCGACGGGCAAATTCAATGCTGAGTGTATCGATCTTGATGTAGTATGCAAAAGGTTGTTCTGTGCTGCGCCGTGCTGAACTGCGATGTGCCATGCCGCGATTGTGCTCGATAACGTTGTGGGTGGAGTCTAGTCCTCCTTTGCATCCGAGTCCTGACCGAACTGATCTGGATCTTCAGCTCGAGCTGCCTGAGCACATAGGAACTGCCCAGAGCTAACTGACAGGGGGACATGCCAGCCTCAGGAGGACGCGCCGCGGAACGTCCCAAGGTACGCGCCAGGCGACGTGCCAGGGGACGTGCCATGGGGACGCACAGCGGGACGTACCAAGGGGACGCGCTACGGAACGTGCCAATGGACGTACCACGGGACGTGCCAGGGGACGCGCCGCGCAACGTGCCAAGGGGACTTGCCACGGGACGCGCCACGGAACGTGCCAAGGAACGTGCCAAAATGCAATGCTGAGTGTATCGATCTTGATTTACCGTGCCGAGGGCTGTGCTGTGCTGCGCCGTGCTGAACTGCGATGTGCCATGCCGCGAATGTGCTCAATAGCGTTGTGGATAGAGCCCTCCTTTGCATCCGAGTCCTGACCGAACTGATCTGGGTCTTAAGCTCGAGCCGCCTGAGCACATAGTAGCTGCCCCAGAGCTAATGGACAGGGGAACATACTAGGAGGATGCGCCGCGGAACGTCCCAAGGGACGCGCCAGGCGACGTGCCAGGGCACGTGCCACGGGGTCACACCGCGGGACGTGCCAAGGGGACGCGCTACGGAACGTGCTGGGGACTAGTGTTTCGCTCGAGACATTATGCCCAAACCCTCATGCTAGACATCCGCCTGGGCGACCTGGACACGTGCAAACAAACGTTGCGCTCAACACATCCTCAACACATCCTCATGCTAGACATCCGCCTGGGCGAACTGGACACGTGAAAACAAGTGGTTGGCTTGAGACATCTTCAACATATCTTCATGTTAGACGTCCGTTCCAGGCCCCCAGGAAAGCCCCAACAGGCCCATGTTAGATACCCCTAGGTGGCCTGGACACGTTAAAGCACCTGGTTCCGCCATGATAAATACTCCCTGGGCGGCCTGGACGCGTAAAACAACTAGTTCCAATTCTGGACAACCATGTTAGATACCCCCCATGGGTGGCCTGGACACGGAAAAACACGTGGGACCAGCTCTGGGTGCCCTGGACACGGCAAAACACGGGGTCCTTGCTCGGGGTAACCATGTTAGATATCCCCCTGGGTGGCCTGGACACGGAAAAACTCTTGGATCTAGCTCTGGGCAACCATGTTAGATACACCCCTCGGTGGCCTGGACATATTAAAACACTCTGGGCAGCCATGTTAGATACCTCCTGGTGGCCTGGACACGTGAAAACACGTGGTGCCAGCTCTGAGCAACCATGTTGGACACACCCCTGGGTGGCCTTGACACCTCAAAACACGTGGTCCTTGCTCTGGGCAACCCCTGTTAGATACACCCCTGGGTGGCCTGGACACGCTCAAACACGTGGCCCTTCCCCCTTTCCCTATCCCCCCCCTTCGTTCGGCCCGATCCTCATCCTTTTCCCCCTCCCCCCATCCCACTCCGGGTCGGTCCAGTGATCCCAGGCCATGGTGTGCGTGGGGCAGGCGACGGCCCAGACGCCGTTGCCGGTCCTCTTCGGGGGAGGGGAGAGGGGCTTGCCTCTGTCCGGGGGCACCCACAAAAGGTGCCGAGGCTGCTGCTCCCCGGACCTCTCCCGGGGCGCGTTCTGACCAGGACTCCGAGGCGAATGCAGCGGTGGCGACGACGGAGAGGCCCAGGAAGCCCAAAAAGAGGAAGAACGAGGGAAGGGGAGAGATTTACACAGTCAACACGTATAGCAAGGATGCGCGAGAAGGATGCAAGGGCCTTGGACGCCCATTTCGCAGCTGTTCGAGCGGGGCGCGGCCAGCGAAAGCGGCAAAGGATGGACCGAGGAGGCAAGGATGCAAAGGGCTACCCCTTGGGAAGGTTGCCCATCCCTCCTGTGCGGGCTGACCGTAGGCACCTCGTCCTCCTCCGATTCTCGGGGGAGGGCTGGCCCTCCAGGGAGCGATCGCCGCCCGAGGGGAGAGCGGCGAGCGCCCCCCAGGCAGCCAGGGGGCTCCCGAGCACGCGGAGCCCACGTGGCCTCGGCCTCGGGGGAGCGGCCTCGGGGCCCGCAAGGGGCTCTCGAACAGACAGCGCAGGGGCAGGCAGCGGGTCGCGAGGTCCGGGGCCGTCGAGGCCCGAAGACAAGACCACCGCTGCAGTCGAGGCCAGTCCACGAGAAGCCTCCCACCAGAGGCCCAACCCCGGGGCCCCAGGACGCCCACCGATGTGTGGTGTGGGACGCAGAGCCCTCGAAGCCCAAGGAACCCGGGGCGCCCTGGAGGCGAGCAGCGTGCTTCCTGGCATGGGCCTCCACTGCATGTGCACACATGGACATGAAGAGTCGTCGCCTGGGGAGCTCTGGAGGCCCACACCGCGAGAAGGACGCGGCGTCATGTTTAGGTCTGCGTGTGCGTCTGCGCCGAGGCCCGCGCAGACGCACCCAAGGGGATTGGAGCAGGCAGGGCGGGATGGTGCGGGGAGGAGGAGACGCCGACCGTGCAGGGATAGCGAGCACGCGCGACGCCGCGTTTTCCTTGAAGGATCATTTCCCCGGCCAAAGAGAGGAAGAAGCCTAGAAGGAAAATATAAACAGAGCCGTGCACTGTCGGAGGTCCGCGGATGTGGTGGACCGGCGCTCCAAACACCCTTCCCCCCAGGGGGCGGCGCCAGAACCGCGGCTGCTTGTATGGGGGGAGGCCAGCGCCGATCCACGAAACCCGCGCGGGCCTCCGAAGGCTTCTGGATATGCCTGACAGTGGAGGCACGACCACAAGAAATCTCCCACAAGAAACCCAACCCTGATACCCCAGGACGTCCATTGATTTTTGGAGTCGGAACGTTGCACCTTCCACCGCAAAACCAGCCAAACCCAAGAAAACCAGGGCACCCTGGAGCCGAGCAGGGTGCTTCTTGGCATGGGCCCCTACTGCATGCCTTTTGCCTCCTTCGGACGTTGTCCACACCGCCTGGGAGGGCACAGAGGTATCGACACCGCTACTCCACGGACCTCTCCCGTGATGCGCTCAGAACGGAAACTCGAAGAGAATCAAGCCGTGGCGACGACGGCCCTCCAAGGTGGGCAGCAATATCGACGTATTCTTGAACATTGGGGGAGCGGGTCCTGAGGGAAACGGGTCCTTTGAGCAGGGACAGACCGTCCTGGCATTTCTATAGGCCTACCACGAAATATTCTCAGAGCCCAAGAATGTTCTAATGACAAAAACTATGCTCTTAGAACAGAACCCCGATGTGTGAAACCAAGATAATCCCAGCTATAAAAGGTTACAACAACATTTCCTGCAGACCACAACCAGTTCTCAAAACATCCTCTGGTGGGCCTATAGGCGAACCAGGACGCTCCGCCACTGCCTGGGTCCTTGGACCCGGGGCCTTCCCCCAGGACGAGACTTCACTCCTGAGCCGCTGTCTGACAGTCCTGGGGCACGTGGAGGGCCCAGAGAGCCCTCCTCCTCCTCCTCCTCCGAGGAGGAGGAGGAGGACGAGGACGGCGCAGAACCTCAGATCTCGTCTCCATCAGGACCCGTGCTCCCCCACGGCGATGTTGGGGAGACCACAGGACACCGGTAACTACCGCACCTCCCCAGACCTCTCCCCAGGGTGCGCTCTGACCGGAATTTCCGAGGCGAGGCCAGCGGTGGCGACGAGGGCCTCCCGGGAGGCCCCCCAAAAGGGGAAAAGGGGTGTGGGAAGAGGTTGGGGTATCTTTTCCTCCTCCGAAATCTTGTATCAAGACGGCATCCCCAGATACCCCTGCGCCGGCGGCTGGTCGTCGTCGTCGTCGTAATCGCCGCCGCCGCCGCCGCCGCCGTCGTCGTCGTCGTCGTCGTCGTCGTCGTCGTCGTCGTCGTCGTCGTCGTCGTCCTCGTCGTCGTCGTCGTCGTCGTCAGCGTCGGCGTCAGCGTCGGCGTTGGCTTGCTTTTGGAAGACCCTTCCCCAAGGCTGGTTCATCCCGACGAATACCTTCTTGACGGCCCCGGGAACCCGGCAAGGGCCCCCGGCGGACAAAAACAGCCAAGAACCTCCCGTCGTGATAGTTCACGGCGCAAGCATGTCTGGGCCTGGCAACCTCTGACCACCATGCTTTCACAGGCCCAATCTGGGCCCAGTCGTGGTGGACATCGGTTCCCCGTCAGACCAGGAGGCCTCCTGCGCAGGAACTCTTTGCCTGAGGTACAGGAGGCACAGACGATAGTAAATCTTGATATAGGACGGCCTACTTTGGCCCCAAGAGTGCCCCAAGAAGCCGTCAAGGGGCCTCCTCCTCCTCCTCCTCCTCCTCCTCCTCCTCTTCCTCCTCCTCGCTCGCCACGAGCACACCAACAGAGCAACTGCGAAGTTATCTGGGCCAGCGGAAGGAGCGAAGCAATAACACATCTTGCCTACAGGACGTGCGTCGTCGAATGCTGAACTTTCCGAGCTGCCCCAAGGCTGCTGTAGGCCCCTGGGTCCATCGGGAGGATAGGGAACTTCCGTGCGGGGCAACTGCTGGCACGCCTGTTAATTCCTTCTCTTACGCGCCTGCTGTATAAACAAAGGTGGAGTTGGAGGAGCATCGCTCTGAAATGGCGCCCAGAAAAAGGAAGTGTGGGCATCCTGACGGGTTCGCCCCCAGCCCCAACCTCGAACACACCTCCAGAACCCCCCTCCTTGGCACTGAGGGCGGCAGGAGGGGGATCTGGCTCCGGACATCTGCTTCATGCCACTGTTTGCAACAGTGCGTCCTATGGGGGAGACCCCACCTGCTTGAAAGAGACGTTAAACACCCAAGATCTACTCCGTGCGGTGGGTGAAGGGGGGGTGCGACGGCCCGCGCCGATCGGCAAAACAATGAATAAGAAAACGAGCACAACTCGGGTCCTGTTCACTAGCGGAGCCCAGCCCGCCATGTGCTGCTGGCGCATGGCGCCGAAGAGGTACATGTCTCGGCCGCTGCAGGCCGGGTACTTGCCTCCGCACCCGCCCGGGCAGCACGAGAGCCGGAGCGTGTAGTACGTCTCGGACGAGTCGTAGAAGCTGTTGATCACAAACATGCGGCTCTCGATCAGGTCCGGGAAGTACTCGGGGAAGAGGCACTTGGACTGCTCCTCCGGATACCTGGCGAGGCACCTCTCGTTGAGGGACCGGGTGCCGTTGCCGACCTCGAAGACGCTGCGCATCTGCGCGGGCCAGCAGTCGATCCCGCTCCGGTCCTTCAGGTCGAGGAAGAAGCCCGCGTCCGGCAGGCCGACCACCTCGCCGTGACTCAGCGCGAGCTCCTCCGCCACCTCTCGGCTCGCGGCACCCGTGAGGGGTCATCCACGAGTGGGAGGCACGCGCCGCTCAGAGAGCGGCACTCGATGGCCCCGGCAAGACTGCGCCCGACACGCCTCGGGGCCGAACCCACCCGGATGTGGCTCCGACGCCGCGGTGTGGAGGCACGCACGGGCACAGAGCCGACCACGAACGCGATGGCATCAGCTCACGAAGCTTCGGTCAGGACTGCGAGCCTGCGCATGCCACCGCGGGCCAGGAGAAGACCGAGACAACAACGAAGGCAAGGGAGAGGAAGGGCTGGACTCCCGAAACACACACCCACACACACACACACACACACACACACACACACACACACACACGTACATGCGTGCGTGTGTGCCCGGACTCCTCGCGCGCGCGCACTTCGCGCTCGCTCCGGCCGGAGGCCCGCTCAGGCGGCACGGCTTGGCGCGGACGAGGGGCCACGGGCACCGCGACGCCGCAGCAGCACCGCCGCGGTGCGGACGGCGCTCTTCCGCAGCGTCCGGGGGCGTTGGGGGCCCGCCTGGGGGCCTCCCCCGCGGGTGCCGCGGCGCTGCCGCCACCGGACCGCGGGAGGCCCGAGGCTGCTGCCGCAGGGGGCGCAGGGGTGCCTCGGGGCCTCGGCCGCCGGCAGCGGTCCAGGCTCGCCCTATATATAGGGTGCACTCCTGCGATGCCACTGGGGCAGGCGGGGAGCAGGACCTCGAGGGGAGTCGGGGGGGAGAGAGGGAGAACAAAAAAGAAAAGGGGGAAACAAAAAAGGGGAGGGGGAGAGAGGGGGAGAGAGGGGGAACAAATAAGAAAAAAAAGAAAAGGGGAGGGGGAGAGAGGGGGAACAAAAAAGAAGGGAGCGAGCGCACGCACAGGCGGCGCGCCCCGAGGGGCAGCGAGGAGGGGCGGGGCCTCCTCAGAAGGCCCGGGAGGTGCCCGGCCTCCCCGGAGAGCGGTCTCTATAAGCCTTCCCCGAAGCCCGAAGGCACGGAGCACCTCTCAGAGGGCGCGAGGGCTTCTGAGAAGTCCTGGCCGCCTCCTGGGAAGGCCTTCGCAGCTCGGGTCTCCGGCCGCCGTTCGGGAGGATCCGGGCACCCCCGGGACGCACTCGGCGAGGCGCAGCCGCTGGAACGCATCCCGAGGCCGCGAAACCGCCAAGAGATGATGAAGACGCCCAGAAATCTCGAACTTCGAGTGCGTCCGCGTGGAAATGCGAGAGGAGAGGTCCGAGGATGAGGATCGGAGGAGGAAAAGGTAGCCATACCTCTGCCCTGCGCCCGTTTTCCTCTTTTTGAGGCCCACTGGCTTCGCCTCGAGATTCTGGTCAGAACGCACCCTTGGAAAGGTCCGGGGAGTAGCGGTGCCGGTACCTGTGGATTTCCCAGGAGGGGGGACGGGTGAGGAGGAGGAGTATGACGACTGGGCTGGACTATGACTATAGGGCTCCAATGCCTCATGCGAGGGCAGAGCACTGCACGCGCAACGCCGCATGTACAACCTGAAGCTGTGTTGGGGCCTGTTACGCGCTAATCAAATTAGGTCGGGCGTGTCCTCCTACAGGCGAAGCTCGGGGCGAAAACGAATACTCCAGACATACTGAAACTGGTCAAGCATACGCAAAACATCGCCTCCTGACTATCTTTCACTATCTCGGCAGATTTCTCCCGAACAGGCCTCTGCCGCCTCTGCTGCCCTGTCTCGCCCGCTGCCGCTTCTGGCCGAGACGCCTCAGGGAAGCAAGGTATAGGCCTCGGAACATATGAGCGAACACTCATGCCACATCAGCTGTCAACGCCTCCCCCTCCCCGGTGCTCAAAGTTGGCGGTGGGTCTGATGAGATGCACTTCGACCGCAGCCTCCCCCGCGCGTGCCAACATTGAGTTTTGAGTTCGTTTGGGGGGGAGGGGGGGGAACGTTCAGTACTTGCTTCCCTCCACCGTACCCACGGCACGCTCGTGGCACCCCGAGCTCGGTGCCCCCACTCGCCCGACCTCCTCACAAACTCGCCGCTCGCTGCGGCGGCGGCGGTGTGCGCGCGCGCCCCGGGCGCGCGCCCGGGGCCCGGCGGGCACGCCGCTGGCCGTGCCCCCCGTGGACATGCCGGCGGGAGGCCCCCCCAGGCGTCGCCCGCGCCGTGCCCGGAGGAGGAGTCGGCCCCCCTAGGGGGCCGCATGCGAGCCCTGCCCCTACCCCCCACGATGTCTGAGGGGGAGGGTGGGGTTCACTTCGCTCGTGACCTCCCGAACGAAGTGAGCCCCACCCTCCCCCTCGGAAATCGTGGGGGGTAGGGGTGGGGTTCGCGTGCGGCCCCCTAGGAGGGCGGGCGTCGGGTGTGGACAGCGAGGTGCCCCCCTCGAGGCCCAGGGAGCCCCCTCGCGTGCCGCTCCCCAGGGAGAGCCCGGAGACAGCCTGAGAGCGCCCCAGGACGGCCCAAGAGGGCCCCCAGGCGGCCCCAAAGGGGGCCCCAAGAGAGGGAGCACGAACCGAACCTCCAAGCTTTCCCCCCAAAGAGGCCCCCAGGAGGCCCCAGGAGGCCCCAAAGAGGCACCCAAGAGGCCCCCAAAGGCCCCCCGAGAGGCCCAAAAGAGGCCCCCAATGGGCCTCGTGAGGGGTCCCCTGGAAGCAGTCTGGGCCACCCCGAGGATCCTGGGGTCAGGGGTACTTTCTGGAAACACCCGAACAGGAGACAGAGAAGGAGCATCGAAGACGCCTCCATCGAGTGGCCACCGCCTCCTGCCAGTGAGACGGGCCTATGCAGCCAAATGCTGCGAACACACACACACACACACACCAACAACAACAACAACAACAACAACAACAACAACAACAACAACAACAACAACAACCACAACAACAAACAACAACAACAACAACAACAACAACAACAACAACAACAACAACAACAACAACAACAACAACACCAACAACAACAACAACAACAACAACAACAGCATCAACAACAACAACAACAACAACAACAGCAACAACAACAACAACGACGACGACGACGACGACGACAACAACAACAACAACAACAACAGCAACAGCACCAATAACAACAACAACAACAGCAACAACAACAGCAACCACAACAACAACAACACACAACACACAACACACAACACACAACACACAACGCACAACACACACGCAACACACAACACACAACACACAACACACAACACACAATACACACAACACACAACACACAACACACAACACACAACACACAACAACACACACACACACAAATACACACACAAACAACAACAAAAAACACAAACACACAAACACACACACACAAACACACAAACACACAAACACACAAACACGCAAGCACACAAGCACACAAACACACAAACACACAAACACACAAGCACACAAGCACACAAGCACACAAACACACAAGCACACACAACACACACAAACACACAAACACACAGACACACAAACACACAAACACACAAACACACAAACACACAAACACACAAGCACACAAGCACACAAACACACAAACACACACACACACACCACCTGAGTGGCCGATAATCGATGTGAAACCCAGTCGACTGCGGTTTAATTCAAGGGGCCCTCTTGGGACGTCTCGGAGCTGCCTTGGGCCCTCTTGGGCCCTCTTGGATGCGCCCTGGGGGTCCCTTCTCTTCGGCCATTTTGGGTCCTTCTGGTAATGTCTTGGGACCCTTTCTAGCCGTCTAGGACCCCTCGAAGCCGTCGTGGGGGGCCTGGGGTCCATTCGGGCTGTTTCCCGCTCGGTGCCCTGTTGGGCCGTCCTGGGGCCCCAGTGGGCCGCGTTGGACCCGTCTAGAGCAATCTGGGGACAGCTGGGGACCGTCACGGGACGAGCTAGTCTGGGCGACGTGGAGGACATTGGGTGCCTCCCTGTCTTGCCTTGGGCCCCTCTTGGACGCTCTCAAGATAGAACATGCGCTAATGTGAAACAGATTCAAGTATGTGTTTGCCAGCGTGGACCTCATCTCAAAGAGTGCAAGCCCACAACCAGGAGCTCACGCTGGCAACCATGACTCAGCCCTTGTTCTTCATGGCGGTATCTTGACGGCCAGCTTAATGTAATTGAGATTGCGTGCAGCCAAGCTACTGACTACCATAAGGAACGCTACATTATATATAAAAAAAACTGTTTGGCCCCAGCAGCGCATGGGCCCCAGAGGAGCACAAACAACAACCGAATCTGAGGAACAACGAGCCCCCTCCGAACCAGAAATGCTCTGCTTCGAAGAACAAGGAAGGGCGACACCGCCATACCGCCTTTCTTTCCTCCGACGTTTCGGCGCCTTGGCTGTGCGCAGTCGCGCTCGTCTGGCCTGTCTCAGCGCCTTCTGGCGGCCCCGCTGCCTTCTGAGCAAGCCTGCTACATAAGACACGCTACACCCGGATTGTTTCAATACGGAGTCCCTGACTGACGACCCGACCCTTTCCCCAGGACCGGTTGTTCATCCCGAATCGCTTGTTGACGGCCCCAAAGCCCAGCGAGGGCCCCCCGAGGCGGAAATTGGCCAGACACCTGCCGTCCTGGATATTTCTGCCACGACGCGATCGTGTCTGGGGTCCCCCTCTCGCTCCCCCCCCTAAAACAGGGCTAGGATCGGGATAAATCGCTCCAGAGCGTTCCGGAGCGCTCTCAGAGCGTTCCGGAACGCTCTGGAGCAGCCGCGGCGCCCAACACATCCTCCAAACCCCCCGATTCTCAGAGATCTCGAGTGATCCCGATCCGATGTTGTCCCGATCTTCGCGTCGTTTTACCCCCCCCTCGGCGCGTGGCAGCCGCGCCCGTCCGGCCCGGGCCTTGTCCACGTGGTAGAACACGGCCGACGCGCCCGCGCTGCCGCCGCCGAGGACCACCTGGCTCCGCGGCCGGCCGGGGCAGCGGCGAGGGCCGCGGCCACGGAGGGGGGGGCCGAAGCGGAGGTCGGGCACGCCCCCCTACAGGAAGATTTTTGGAGGAAGAATAGAAGGTACTCGAAAAATCTTCAAAACATGCCCAGATTTGATGAAAAATAATAGATACGCGAAACATGTTCAAAACATGCCCAGAAATAGTGGAAACAAAAAATGGTCCCCAGACTTAAGCCAAAGCTGTGTGAGCGTGCTCGTATTCGGCGTTTCGACACTGGGCGGAAAGGGGGGGGATGATGGTTGGGCGTCGCGTAATGCGGGGGGTTCTAAGTGGGGGGGTGGCGCGGGTGGTCCGAAAAGGTACCCAAGCGGTACCTAAACGAGCCCCCTGGGGCCCTGGAGGGGCCCGCAAGGGGCACGAAAGGGGACCGTCTCTGACCCGCCCCATTTATGACCCCCTCATTAAGCCACGCCCAAGATGGGGGGGGGGTCTGGCTCCGGCCCTCTGCTTGACGCGACTGTTTGCAACAGAGCGTGCTATGGTGGGGACCCCGCCTGCTCGAAACAGGCGCTAGAAACTGCCAAGACCTACTCCACGAGGGGGGTGCGAGGGCCCGCGCCGATCGGCAAAAAAATGAATAAGAACACGATCACTGGCCAATCAGGGCCCCATGTCGAGAATCGAGGGTCGAGGAGTTAGCCGCGAACGACGAACATCAGGCGGCCACATCCGACACCAGGACCTCACCAGCCATCGATTCGATTCTCCTGGATCGATGGGAGGCGGGGAGGAAAGGGTTCGGATTTCGCAACGCGTTCGACGAATCTCCGAGCCCTAACCCCGCCTCCCATGGAGTTACCCGAAGCGTTGGTCGGCGAGGTTAGGGTCAGGTCGGGCATATCCCCCTGCAGACGAATTCTGGGCGAAGACTTGAAACTAGTCAATAACTATAAAAATACACATATATAACCACTTGCATTTTTCTGTGAAACACCGAAAGAACTCCCCAGAGTATCTTTAAATGTTGTGGGATATTCCTCCTGTAGAGGGACAGGGCCCGACTTCAGGTTAGGGCTCGGACTGCGCAGGCGCGAACATGGCCGCCTCCAGGCGCCCTCGCGTCCCGGACGCCGGGGCGCGCGCTCCCGCGCCTGCGCGAGCGCGCGGGTGACTGCGCCCCGCGCGGGGCCTCCACACGACGCCGCCCCGCATCCGCGGTGTCGTGGGGGGAGGGTCCCGGCCCGCGGGGCCGAGGGCACAGCCAGCCCGCATCATAAGGAGGCGGGGTAAGGATGCAGGGGCCTTGGAGGGACATGTCGGAGCTTTTCGATCACAGCGCGGCCAACGAAGCTGGCCAAGGACGGACCGAGGAGGCAAGGATGCAAGGGTACCCTTGGGAAGGTTGCCCATCCTTACCATGCGGGTTGACTGTAAGGTGCAGATACGTCTCCCACCCACGAGTTCGGAAAGAAGAGCGCCAGGATGCTGGCGGGAAGCCGCAGCAATGGATCGAGGCACTCCCCATGCTCTGGGATTGCTCCGAGCGGATCTGGCCTCAGTGGCTCTTGGAAACGGCAGGGCCGTTTTTTTGTATAGCTCCCCAGAAAAACTGTCTTGAGGATGCAAGCTGCGAAAAAGCTACCCGGAGAAACTAAACAAAGGAAAGCGACTCCAGGATGGAAGCTAGACCAGAACCACCAACAACAAAGCGGTGACGGAAAAGCATCGGCGCTGGAACCTCAAAACAACGGCAAAACGAACATGGAAAAACTGCCTTGTCGCATTCCAAAGCCACCTTGTCCAGTCGAGGCGCATCATAAGGATGCACAGTAATGATGCAAGGGCCTTGGAAGGTCATGACGACACCTCTCGAGAGTGGCGCGGCCAGCGAAAGTGGCCAATGATGAGCCGAAGGGGAAAGGTCTACGGGTAACCTGGGAAGCTGCTCATCCCTACATGCGACCTGACAGTAAGGATCTGGCAGAATTTGAGGGATAACGATAGGGGGGACTGGGAAAACATCATCAACCAGGAATCGGCAATACATCAACGATAGATTGGTGATAGGCCCCCGATAGGGAAGCCGCACCATCCTTGGCGAGTTGGGGCTATCGGTCCCCTATCGGTGACCAATGGACGATTGGGGGTCGATGCAACCTCCCCTATACGTATCCCCCCCTGCCGTTGCCCCTGAAAATCCTGGTCTTCAATGTCTTGCGATCGGACCTCCCAGGGAGCCCCCTGGCGAAGACCTTCTGGGAAAGACGGGCGGCACAGAAGGGGAGCCTGCAAGCGGCAAACGGGGCACCCGGTCTGGGTTGGGACGGGAAAAATTGGCGGCGCGCACAAGGGGGCCAGGGGAGGGGGAAGGTCTCTTAAAAGGAGGCTGCTTCTCAGAAGGCGCCAGCCCTACATCTATAGATAAGACCCGCGCCTTCTAAGGAGCACGGGTGCTTCTGAGAAGCCTTCCCCCTCCCGCCTCCCCCTCCCCTTCTCTGCGAGTGGCTGACAGGAAGCGGGTGCCATGACCAAGAATGAACGCGGAACTGTCGTGCCAATCTTGGTCACCGTCGATCTTTTGGTCAACGCCAATTCGTGGATCATCCTCGCCTTCGGGAAACTCCGTCTCCCAAGTCCCCCGCCGTCGTGCTGTGGCCCTCCCGGCCTGGTTCTGGGGGGCCCGTTCTGCCCCGCGGTCCGTCTTTTTGCGAGAGCCGCTGGTGCAAAGCGCATGGCCCCCGAGACGCCGACATCGTCAAAAAGCACCGCCCGCCAATGTTTCCACAACGTCGCTGCTGCGTTCCCTTTTCGTGGAGGTTTCGCTTCGGAGCGAAGGCAGCGGTGGGGATTCTCCAACGCAGCGCTATGTTGCACCCCTGGAATTGCGCTCGGCTCCCAATGCCCACCGGAAGGAGATCGAAACGAAAAGATGTCGACATACATACATACATATACATATATATATATATATATATATATGTGTGTAGACATATGCTTATACATATGTGCGTAAACATATGTGTATATAGAGTGAGACAGCGGAAACTGCCCGCGAGGCTGCCCTAAGCAGCATCGTCGTCGACCCTGGGTCTCGAGGTCTGCAGGAGTGGGGGGGTGCTAGGTTCGGCCCTCTCCTGACGGGGAAGCGCGAAGGAGTAGACCTCCTCAGAAGGCTCGGAAGGCCTCAGGTAGAGGCCTCCTAGATGGGGTCGAAGTAGATGGGGTCGGAGGGTCGCGCCGCATCGCCGATACATCGGCAATGCATCGGCGATGTATCGGCGATGCACCAGCGGTGCATTGTCGACGTCGGCGATGCATTGGCGACGTCGACGTGAAGCGAATCGGGTCCAACATCGAGCCGCATCGCCGATGCATCGCCGATGCGGTGCGATCGTCCCGTTCCCATCTACTCCGACCCTAGATCAGGCCTTCTGAAAGGTGTTTCGTGCCCTCTCAGGAGACACGAGACACTTCTCAGGAGAAGCCCCACCGCCCTCTGAGGCGGCCTTCTCCCTTATGGCTTCCCCCCTCGCTCGCCGCCGCTGTGTCGTTCCTGCCCCCCCCTAGCCTTAGGTCGGGCCTGTCCCCCCTAAAGGCGAACTTTGGACGGAAAAAAAGCTATCGACAAATAATTCAAAACAATCAAACATGAACCCAATAATCGTCCCCAGACTATTTTGGACTATTCTTGAATATTCCTTCTGTAGAGGGACAGGCCCGACTTAACATTAGCCCCCTGGGCGAGCAACGGAACCCCGGGCCTGGCTCGCGTCGCCGATCGCCGTGCGCGCCTTCAGGTCCGCGATGACAGCGGAGAGGATCGCTCGACCCTTGAAGTGGACCCCGTCGACGACGGCGTCGCCGCTGAAGCTCATGCCTGTAAGACGAAGCCAGGACGAGGACAAATTCGGACGAGGGTAGATGGAGAACCTCTGAGATCCAGCGGCCCTGGAGGATGTCTCGGGCGCCGCGGACTTCTCACAGCGTTCTGGAACGCTCTGAGTGCGTTCCGGAACGCTCTGGAACGGATTCACCCTTGTCCTGACCCTGCCCGAGCCTGTTTCTCCAATGACAATGGGGGCGCCGACTGTACACCTACGACAGGCTCCCGTGTCGCCATGACGTCGGCGCCGGCTTCCGATGCCGCGTGGATCGCTGAACCTTGAGCTATCGCGGACTTCCCAGCAGTGCAGGTCGTTCGACATCGCCCGACTCTGAAGCTCTGGCGGCGCTCAGCCTTGGCTGCCCACGCTGGGCTCACCGCCGCGACGCGCCGCGAGCGCTCTCTGTACACCCGGACTGGCCGGTCCCCTCCTGGGCCCAGGAGATCGGTGTCTGCGCCCTCCTGGCTCGGCCCGGGAGGCATACTCCAGATTTCGTAATAAAGGGAGGGGGGTCTCATTTCGGGGGGGGTCTCTTCCAAGCTATCTTGGAGGGCCTGGGGGGGTCTGGGGACGATGTTTTGGAGGGTTCTCCCACGGGGGGGGGTCTGAAACTGCTTGTCTTGGAGGGTCCAGACCCCCTCCCTTTTATTACGAAATCTGGAGCACACACCGATCCTGGGCCCAGGATGCCTGTGGGGCGTTGACCGAAGGAACCCTAAAAACGGAGCGAGGCCCAATTTTCCCACGAGCTGAAATTCGAGTTCCCATGGAAGACCACAGGAGAACCTGAGGCACACCGTAAAGCAGTGAAGGAACACGGAGCCGCTCCCCGACGAAAAGGGTTCCTTCCTCAGCGCCCCGACTGCAGACCCGGCCAAGATCCGTGTGGCTGTGTGGACGGCGCCATCCGAGACGACTGGCGCCGAGATCTGGGCGCGCTGATCTGAGATCACCGTGGACGCTCCTGCCACGCGCGGCCCCCCCCCCCCCGGACACCGCAGAACGATCCGGCCAGAGATGTCCTGCACAGAGATGCTCTAGGTATTCGACTGCGCCAACTCTTCGGCCTTCGTTCCCCTTCTCTTCGAGCCCGTTGTTTTATCAACCCCAATAACGCCCGTGACTGACCCCGCCCTCCGTCCCATCCCCCCCCCCTGGTCACGTCACGATTCGCACCAGCGCTGTGCGGGAATCCCACCAGCCCTCTGGGCGCAGGTGGTCTAGGGAGTTTCCTCTTCCAACCCCCTTCTTCCCCTCCAAGGAGGGGTGTACTCCTCCCCCCTACCCCATTCCCTGGACCTGGACGGGGGGGGCCGCGGGTACTTGGAGCGTCCAAGATGGCCCAAGACGGCTCCAAGAGGGCCTCGGAAAGCCCAAGATGACCTCCAAAATGGCTCAAGATAGCGCATGATGCCGTAAGATGGCATTCAAGATGCTCCAAGAAGCCCCAAGAACGCTCCAAGACGGCTCCCAGAGGCCTCCGAGACCTCCAACGAGTCCCCCAACGATGGTCGCTTTCTCACCTTTTCGCTTCCGCTAGCCATCCGAGGCCTCAAGACGGCCCCAAGAGAACCCAAGAGCGCTCCAACAGCGCCCCAAGAGCGCACCAAGAGGCGACTCTTGGGGGCTCCCGAAGGGGAAGGCTAATCGAACCTCCCCTCTTGTGTTGATTGACGTTCTCCAAGATGGCTTCAAGGGCGCCCCTCAAGCTCCCAAGAGCGCACCAAGAGGGCCACAAGAGGCGCCCAGACGCCCCAAAAGAGGCGTCCAGGAAGCCTCCAAGAAGCTCCCAAGAGACCCACAAAAGGCCTCAAGAGGATGCCCGAAGCACCCAAGACGCTCAAAGACGGCCCTGGGCTCGCCAAGCTGCCCGTCCTTCTCCTTCTCCTCCTCCTCCTCCTCCTCCTCCTCCTCCTCCTCCTCCTCCTCCTCCTCCCCCTCCCTCCTCCTCCTCCCCCTCCTCCTTGTCCACTGTCTCTTCATCCTTCCTCATCTTCGCCCTCCTCCTCCTTTTACTCAACCATCCTCCCCCACTTGGGGTATCTGACAACTTCCCACGCCCTTGTTCTTCTGCATGCTCCCCCACTTCCCTGATCACCTCAACTTCCCTGGACATTGTTTCTGGATGGGCTGGTGGGTATACTTTTTTGGTTCGCGGCTCCAAGGCAAATGTCAGGGAGCAAACGCAGCGTCCGGGATGCGGTACGGAGCGAAATCTGGTGGGTATACGCGAAGCGTCAACAATTAACCAGATGAACCATTCCTACGCATTCCCAGACTGATCCGCTGGAGAGAAAAGTGAACTGACTGGCCCCCTCCCCCCCCACACACCCAGGTCACACCGTTATCGCCACGCACAAAAACTGTCCATTTGCCACTGGGCTCACCTTGCGCTGGTAAGACAGTGGATCAGCACAAATCAGGTGATGCCTCGCAATTTCGACCTTGTGGGAGCGAAGCCTGGATATTTCATATCAAGCTTTTGCCACTGCACAAGATGCAATATTATGTTTCCGACGCCGTGATCACATCACGGCATCCGATGCCACGGGAAGAAGAGGCGGTTGTCCTAGAGACGCCAACCATGAAAATGCAAATCGCAGGAAACGGAAAGGACGACGAGCAAGAACGCTCGGGATGCAAAACCAGTCCCGAGGAAGTGGTCGAGACCTCCATTCGTCCACATTGTGGAAAGCACGACGCTGGGAACGAGAAGGAGGGAGGGAGCGGACGAGTACGGAAAACGACGTGGGGAAGAAGGGAGGGGGAGGAAACGCGCGCGCCGTCGCAGTACGGAACCCAGACCAAGGTCCAATTGTGGAACACCGGGTTCTCCTGAAGGGGGGGTATCCCTTACGCAGAGGTTGGATCATGCAAGCTATATGAGAGAACAAATTGGCCGCCAGATGGACGGCACAAGGTGAAGCGAGAGCTTGGAATGTCCTGGTGCGTCTGGGTAGTGAGGACGATGATCAAACATGACACCCGCAGAAGAACAAGAAAAAGTACATCTACCCCTGGCATCCCTCAAGACCTCCTGGTGATTGTCCACCTGTGTCTCCACCTGCTCCTCCTCCAGATCATACAGTGGAGGCCAGTCCACAAGGAACCTTGCACAAGAAATCCAACCCTGAGATCCCAGGACGCCCACTGATTTTTGGTGTGGGAACGTCGCGCTTTCAACAACAAAACCCTCGAAACCCAGGAAACCCGGGGCACCCTGGAGGCAAGCAGGGTGCTTCTTGGCATGGGCCTCCACTGTGTGGCCCTTCTCTTCTCCTCTTTCGCAACCTCTGGGACGCCCGAGAGACTCCGAACTTCCCCCTTGAGCGTCGTCGCCGACCGCCTCTCCGGCGCCCGCCAGGGGCGATGCAGGACCCCCGGAGCGGCCTCGGCGAGGCGCAGTCGCTGGAAGGCACCCCGAGGATGGAGGACCGCTGGAAACACTTTTGACGGGGCCCCGGGACACACACGTGAACAGACACAGATAACCGGAGCCCCCCATAGTTGTCCATGCTTTCTGGGTTCTTGTCTCCCCCCCACTTCCCGTACTTCCCCATATCCTCTGGGGAATCGACGATTCGTTGTCTCTGTGTTGTTTCCTCCTGAACTTTTTGTTGGTCGCCGGCGAGGCAGAGTTGGCTGCTCCAGCGAGGAGCTGGACGGGGGTGCCGCAAAGCGACTTGGCCAGTTCGCACGGGGTGAGCACGCGGAAGCAGGGCGGCCGCGGGGAGCCGCTGGGAACACACGGCAGCGCCCGAAAACCTCACCCCCGATCCCCTCTGAGCCTACACGTCGTTCATTTCTGATCGTGCTCATTTCTAACTGCGCTCGCTTCTAATAGTTCCTGGCCCCCTAGTGGCCACGAGGAGGCCCAGGACAGAACACTCAGAAATGAGAGGATCTTGGCCCCCAAGCGAATCAAAGCACCCTCGAAGAATTAGGAGTGAGCAGTGTGTACCCCCCTCACGCTGCCCCTGAGATCAGCGCGTCCTGGGAAACATGACGGTATGCGAACAATACTATGTGTCTCTGCTGCGGACGCACGTCCGACCTCCTACAGTAAGCATGTAGCACACCGCCCTGCAGCAGAGCGCTTCCCGAGCGGCGTGGCCAGAAAGCGCCCGCCACGACGATTACATCAGGTCGGGCATGTCCCCCCTACAGGCGGACTTTGGACGAACAATTTAAAACAAATTATCCTGGCGAAGGTCCCAACCATATGCAGTTGTGGGTACCGTGATTGTGAATATCTGCTTCGGTGAAGCTCCCTATGGGGCCACGAAACGCTGCACTGGGCGGGGGGGCACGCTGCACTATGTGGGTGGTGTGCCGAATTGGGTTTCCGGGACGCATGCGGACGGTCCCACTGAGGGCTTCGGTGGAGCTCCCTATGGGGCCACGAAGCGCTCTACTGAGTGAGTGGAAATGCCAAATTGGGTTTCCGGGACGCATGCGGACGGTCCCACTGGGGGCTTCGGCGGAGCCCCCTATGGGGCCACGAAACGCTGCACTGCGCGGGAGAAAATGCCAAATTACCTTTCCCGAACGCAAACGGACGGTCCCACTGGGGCCTTGGGTGGAGCCCCCTGTGGGGTCACGAAACGCTGCACTGGGTGTGTGAAAATGGACGCATGCGGACGGTCCCACTGGGGGCTTCGGTGGAGCCCCCTATGGGGCCACGAAACGCTGCACTGCGCGGGTGAAAATGCCAAATTACATTTCCGGACGCATACGGACGGTGGCACTGGGGCCTTGGGTGGAGCCCCCGATGGGGCCACGAAACGCTGTACTGGGTGGGTGAAAATGCCAGATTGGGCTTCCGGGACGCATGCGGGCGGTAGCACTGGGGCCTTCGGTGGAGCTCCCTCTGGGGCCACGAAACGCTGTACTGGGTGTGCGGGACGCATGCGGACGGTAGCGCTGGGACCTTCGGTGGAGCTCCCTATGGAGCCACGAAGCGCTGTATTGGGCGTGCGGGACGCATGCGGACGGTAGCACTGGGACCTTCGGTGGGGCTCCCTATGGGGCCATGAAACGCTGCACTGAATGGGTGAAACGCAAGGAGAAGGGGGAGGAGGGCCACGAAACGCTGTACTGGGTGTGCGGGACGCATGCAGACGGTAGCACTGGGACCTTCGGTGGAGCTCCTTATGGGGCCATGAAGCGCTGTACTGGGTGTGCGGGACGCATGCGGACGGTAGCACTGGGACCTTCGGTGGAGCTCCCTATGGAGCCACGAAGCGCTGTACTGGGTGTGCGGGACGCATGCGGTGCGGGCAGTAGCACGGGACCTTCGGTGGGGCTCCCGATGGACCCACGAAACCTGTACTGGGTGGGTGAAACCAGGGAGGAGGGAGGAGGCCACGAAAACGCTGTTACGGTGTGCGGGGCGCAATGCGGTACGGTAGCGCTAGGACCTGCGGTGAGCGTCCCAATGAGGGGCCTCGGAACGCGGCATGCACGGGGTGCGGGGCGCATCGGGTTGCGGTAGCACTGGGTGGGACCTTCCGTGGGCTCCCTATGGGGCAGGATACAGTACTGATGCGGAAACGCAGGGAGAAGTGGGAAAGAGAAGGCCACGAATCGCTTACTGGGTGGGTGAGGGGGGAAAGGACGCGATGGCGGAATCGGTGGTGGAGGAGGGAAGAGGAGAGAGAAGAGACCGCGGGGACCTCTCTTCAAAACGAAGGGACCCGACCCCACAGGATGGCTGGAAAAAAATACTCCGACGGAAGAACCCCACATAGAATCCTCTGGGCGAATCTGGAAAAAAAACCATCACTGTCGTCCTCGTGGTTGGTGAGGCGTCCTGGCTGTCTCTTCTGCGTATATTTCCTGTCGCCTTGGCGCGGGCCCCCCTTCCACTCCTTGCGTTGTCCCCATCCTCGCCCCCCTGTTTGTTCCGCGCCCCGCCACCTCCTCCCCTTCCTGTTGCATGAGCGCGCATGTCGATGTTCCTCGGCGCCGTCGCCGCCACGGCCAGCACAGGCGCGTTCTCTACTGGTCACGTCGCGCAGCCGTTGGGACAACCCCGCGGGCCAGGCTGTCGGGACAACCCCGCGAGCCGTTGGCGCGCAAGACCAAGCCGTTGGGACAACCCCGCGGGCTTCGAGCGAGGCGCAGCGGCGCTCAGGCGGAAGGCAGCACGAAGCCCAGCTCTGCCGCGAGCTGCTTCGCCTCCGCCCTGGACAAAACCGCTCTCTTGTCGAACTCCAGGAACGCCTTCCGCAGGGGCGCCGGCGGCCCGCACTCCAGGAACTCTCGCGGCGGCGGCCGCAGGATCAGCATGTTCCGCATGCACGTGGCGCGGGAGAACATGACGTAGAGGTGCAGCCACCACTGCTCGTCCGACATGCCCGCGCGGCCAGCGTCCTCGTCTCTCGCGCAGTCGATGGTGACGCCCTTGCGCAGCGTCTGGCCCTGCGACAGCGTGGAGGTCAGGTAGGACGCGTGCGTCAGGGTGAACCCCGAGCGGCGCACGCCGTGCGCCCCCGAGCTCTGCCATGTGAACTCCCTTTCGCTGGGCCTGAACATCAGCAAGCTCCGCGCCCGCGCCTCGGCCTGGCCGTCGTCGTCGGCGCCTTCGGCGCCCTGTCGCAGCACCTCGGCGACCTGAGGAGCCCAAGAACTTCCTTGTTGCGTCCAAAATGTGGCCTGGGAACTGCGCTCTGGCAGCGCGAGAACCCAAAATTGACGACAGTTACGGGTTTTGGATGACCCGCTCGGATTACCAACATGATCTGCGGGCCCCATAGGGAGGGGGCTCCCGCCTGAGACTTCCTCGCAGTTCACTCACAGACGAGGCTCCCGCCTGAGACTTCCTCCATATTCAGGCTTGAGGAGCCCAAAAGTGACGACAGTTACAGGGTTCCGATGACCCGCTCGGATTACCAACATGATCTGCGGGCCCCATAGGGTGGGGGCTCCCGCCTGAGACTTCCTCACAATTCACTGAGAGACGAGGCTCCCGCCTGAGACTTCCTCCAAATTCAGGCTTGACGAGCCCAAAAGTGACGACAGTAACAGGGTTCCGATGACCAGCTCGGATTACCAACATGAGGGCGGGGCCATGGGAGGGGGCTCACCGGCTGAACCTGCCTCCGAATCACTCACAGACAAGGCCCCGCCGGAAACTTCCTCCAAATTCCTGCTTGAGGAGCCAAAAAAGGGACGACGGCTACAGTTCCGAGGACCAGCTCGGGATGTACCAACATGAGCTGGAACGCACCATAGGGAGGGAGCGCCCGCCTGAGACTTCCTCGCAGTTCACTCACAGACGAGGCTCCCGCCTGAGACTTCCTCCATATTCAGGCTTGAGGAGCCCAAAAGTGACGACAGTTACAGGGTTCCGAGGACCCGCTCGGATTACCAACATGATCTGCGGGCCCCATAGGGAGGGGGCTCCCGCCTGAGACTTCCTCACAATTTACTCAACGATGATGAGGATGAGGATGATGAGCGGTGGTGAAGATGAGTGGTGAAGAGGATGATGATTGATTGTGAATTGTGGTGGGCGAATGTGATGTGGAAATGAAGGATGATGCCGCTGCCGATGATGATGATGAATGATGATGAATGATGGTTCGGGAGCGTGTGGAAGAGAGGGCGAGTGCTGATGATGATGATGATGAGGACTAAGCATGTGGAAGGCATCATCGAAATGAAAGCTGATGAGGTTGATGATGAAGAGTGTGAGGTTGAAGCTGTGAGTGGGTGTGTGCGGTCCTTTCCTGCGCGGGTGTCCAGAGAAAACTAGACCCATCTTTGGAAGGATGCGGGGAAAAAGAACATTGTCAAACACACGCAAACATAGCCAAAAACATATGTTACTCCG